TTAGCTTCTTTATGTTATAATAATTCTTTTCCTTTATTGAGGTTTGCTAATGTACTCTTGAGTCAGTCTCAAGCCATGATGAATGAAGAGAGCTGCATTCAGACATTTAAAGGGGATGTACCCAATTATATTTCATGTAATAAAGTCACTAGTCATTAGTTTTGCAATAGTACAGATATTTTAAAGGCAGCTCCTATAGGTCAAAATGACCTATAGGAGCTGCCTGCATCTAATTATGAAGCTTTTTTTATTTTTTTTTAATCAATATATGTCTAAATTGAACACAATATTTAATCACTATTTCATCTCTGCACTGTCTCCTTACCTTTCTTTTGTATATATTTTGCATAACTGTACATACACATTTGTGTAATAATGGCTTATCTGACATGAATTTCTTGCTATTTTTGCTACTTATGTTAAATATATTATTTCCATTTATATTTTTGCTCATTGTTATTATATTTTATTGTGATGTGTGAGCTACTGTGTGGTATGGTACTAGAAGAAGTTACATTGTGGTTCAGAGTCAGTGTGTGTGAAGCCTGTGTATCTCTAGTTTCATGGACAGAGGGGCGGGGGGATGGGGGGGTGTAATGTACGAAAATTGGAGGATTAGACGGCTAACCCTCTTCCTGTCTGCTTCAGTGCTCCTCCCCTGTTCTGTTCCTCTTTCTCATACCTCTGTCCACTGCTCGCCGATAATACAAACTGACTTACTGATGACCCCCATCCCAAAAGAACTGGTATCCTTTGTAACTATAGTGATATCTACTATAGTTGTATCTTTACAACAGTTTACCATTAATGCATGTGTAAAATAACACCTGTTGTTACTTTATTTTCCTCTAGCTAATTCATTAATTGACAAAAAAGAATCTGCTCAATGAAAAGATACTATAACACATATTGAGGTGATAATTATATCTTCTATATATATTTTTGGAATTACTTAAAATTAACTTGATATAGTGTAAAATCTACATTTAAAAACATGAACCAGTAACATCCACACACATCACATCAGAACTGGGAGTAAACAAGAACTAAATCATTGCCATACCAGGGCTAGAATTGGGATCAAATCAGGACCAAATTAAACAAAAAACAAGTTTGTGAACCAGCCTTTGCTACTACTGCTATTCTCATACTTCTGCTGCTGTACTATAAAAAAAACTAAAAAGGAAAAAAACTAGCAAGAGAAAAAGGCACTGTTCAACCGAAATCTGAGGGGACCAAAATTATTTGGTTGAATAGACTTATTTGAAAAAACATGTATTCTATTGACAATGAAAAAGTGACCCGTTCTGACCCTGCCATCACTGTGGGTCCTTCCTCCGATGATTTAATACCAACAATTTGTGAGTATTTAGCTATGTGCGCGTTCAGCCTGTACTTTGAGGAAGACTTTTTGTGTCATTGTGTTTTTTGCTCAGTTCCAGAGCACAGTAATCTGACACAATGCGAGGTGGAGACGTGAAGGAGGGGGGCGGCTGGGGGGTGAGCGCTGAGCGGCAGTCTCCAAGTGTGCGTGTAGGGGTCTGAAAGGGCCTAAATGGATCTGCGATTGGACTCTCTGAGGTCGTCATCAGCCCAGATTGGAGGCCATTAGGGCCTGTTTAAAAGAATTACTTCCAGGATGCAATCAAAAACCCTGATAGGTAATCAATGGCAACTAGATCAGCGCACAAAGGCAGTCCATGTGTCTCAATCAGCCACCATTCAGCAGGACAGCCAGATCTGTACTGGCCAGATACTACTGCACACAAAATGCACAACCCGGCAATACCTGGGACACATGTACACAAATCACATACAATCACAGGGACAACAGTAAGTGGCACAACGTCCACATGACCAAGTCCAGCTCAAAACCGGGCTGGAGTTCTGCACCACTTTTCAAGAGGGGTGTAATGTGTCTGGAAGAGGCATTTTAGGGCAAAGGAGAGAGAGGAGGGACAGAGGAAGATCGAGTGGGAGGATTTAAGTAAACGTACAATGATGCTTCGGACAGACAGATTGATTTTATTTGAAATTGTATAAAATCTAATTTAAAGTGAAATACACAGTGATAAATATATCTATGTCCACAGTGTTTAGAAAACAACTCTTTAACAAGTTTATTTAAAAGTTGGAGATAAATGGGATAAATATAGCTCATAATAGTTTATAGAATACACATAATTCTCTGATGAAATCAGTACTTTCACAATTTTTTATGCGCATTGTTATTCGACAATGTAAGATTAAAGCTATAGAAGGTGATCTTGTGTCATGCCCTCTATCTAAGGGTTTCAGAATGGTGAAACATATCCATAGTGATTAACAATTTTAAACAAAATTTTGACTGGAAAAAATCTTCAAAATGTTGCGTATAGGAAGCTGAAACTCGTTAATATAGGTTTTCTTACATGTGGCTGCAAGCCTTTTTTTTCTCAACTACACAATAAGTGGATAAATTCTGTGTCCAGTGTCCGAACTACATCATATCTAGAAGAACAGAACAGAAAAGACAGTTGATTTATAAACACAGAAAATCCCTTGCATGTTGAGGGGGAAGAATTAGCACCCAAGAGCAAGCTGCTGGGACCTGGGTGCTCCACTAACACATAAGCATACATAGGCCCATGCAAACACAGACAAGCACACCCCATACTGCGTGTGCAATAACTCGATTTATTATTAGGTTATATACACCAGTGCATATCAATGAAGAAACACATATACCAAATAGGAACAATAATGGCCTTGACATGATAAAACACCATCAGGAAGGGGATATGAAACACAGCGCGCCCCCTGCAATAAGATTACCGCCTATCAGACCTCAGTAGATTTGCCGGCGGGACTCCCCAGTATAATAAAATCAGATTAAAGGACAATCATATTTATTTCTAGTATATACAATATATCAAGGTTGCTCAGTAGCTCTTATTGTGATAGGTGGCGAGAAGGCGAGCGCCGTGTGTACTCTGCTCGTGGAAAGTTGACGTTAGGCTGTGTTTAATGAGCTTCAAGGTGTCATGGAGTCGGGAATGTAACAGGATATGTTGGCAAGGCTTATTGATTTATTGTTTTCCAAAGAAGTTTTTGTACTTTTGTTATTGCCTGGGCTGTCAGCGGTAATGTCATTTCAGAATCATTTCAAGTGAATCAAAGTTGAGCGACGCTGTGTAAATGCGGGCGTGTGATTATTCTGCGGTGGGATAAAATATGAGGAAATAAGATGACGGGGAGAGGTTAATATCAGCTGTGACACCTATAAGGGATCTGCTCTGGGAATAGACATAGCGTGCACCTGAGTCAGACTTCAAGGACTGAACGAAAGTAAGCTATAAGAAGCGTTGTAGAAGAATTGTTCAAGTTGTCTATTTTTATTTATGTTTTAACTTTTCCTAAGATAGTGTCAGGCAGAGGGAGATTAATTTTCTAATGAAGGATATGTATAGATTTAAAGATGTATTGCATAACTTTTTGGTAGAGGGTCCTCCATCTGCTTGTC